TTAAACATGTTTTAATTGATATACGATTATGTATGTTAATTCGATAAAGGTTTAAAATGAAACATTAAAAAGTAAAGGATCGTAAAGTAAATTAATTAACTAATTATAGATGTATAAAGTGTAAATTTAAAATTATAATTTAAAAAAAAATTGTGGGAGGTTGAGTGTATATGAGGGGGTGAGTGTATGTGAGGAGATGTGGAGATGAAAAAGTGAAAGGATAGTATAAAGGGTATCTTGGTCATTTAGTATTTTAAGACTTTAAGACTTTTATTAAATTTACTTAATAAGATAGTATATATAATTTACATATATGAATCATTTATTCTTACGTTCCATGTTCTTTGCACGAAAGAAAATAACGCGTGAAGGAAAATAATTAAATTACATTTTTATCAATTAATTATTATAAAACAAATGTTTTTAACATGTTTTAAAATATTATTACATACAAACCCTACAAAATCCCATGAAATACCAACCATGATTTCAAAATCTCATGTTTGTGGGATTTCTAAATTCAAAAAATAATTCAAAACTTACACGGAAATGAAATGAAATTCAATTCAAAATCACTCTAAGAGGTTGTTTGACAATTGCTGAATGGTTTGGTGTAGAATGATTAAGAGACTTTCATTGTACAGTGCAAAATGAAATATAATTGTCTGGTAATTGTTTATAATGAAATCAGGGCGTTTAATGATTAAAGAAGACTCGGGATACAAAATCATTAAAAGGGTTTTAGAACCATTAAGATGCGGACTTTTTTTTTTGCCAAACAATATTCATCTCTTAATGGTTCAGATGTTGTCTCTTAATGAAACTATTAAGAGGTAAACAAACAATCCCTAAATCTAATCTAATCCTACAAACCAAACAAGACCTGAAGATTTTTGGACATAATTTCATGTGAATTTTGATTTCCACCCCCGTTGGCTTATACATTGTCGACCCTCTTCACGAGTGTCGACATTTGTCTCCTACAAACGTGCAAACCACCAGAGTCTTTATCTCCTTCAATTTGTCCATGATGATCTCAACTCTGCTTAGTCGGTATCTTGTCCAACATGGTTTGCTATACGTCCACCTGAGTTGATGAGCATCCTTATTTCTACAATTTCCGACGTTTCGTCCCATACGACATGACTTGTCTAATGGTTATCCTATAGAACTTGTCCTTCAGTTTTAACATAACATTCTAGTTGCACAACACTCTTGTGACAACTTTTCATTTTAACCACCATGTTTTTATACAGTGTGCAGCATCGTACTTGACCTTACCCCTCTTTCTAAATCAACAAGTCTACGCACCAGTAATTTTGGGTACTTTTTGCATGTCACGTAAATTGCACCAATGGTACTTGGGCTTAGAACGACCAACGCACAAGCCTTGTGTTCTAATGTCATCCTTCATTGTTCCAATCCAACATTCAACTCTCCTTTCGTCTATGCTATTGGTGCATTATTGTAACGCCCCCAGAACCCCGTAGCAAAGATATTGTCCTCTTTGCCCGCTATACCACAAGGGAAACCGGTCATGCTAGGATGAGGTATCCACACCCTTATAAGGAGTGCTTTGTTCACCTCACCAACCGATGTGGGACGGGATGTTACACCCTCCCCCCGTTAGGACACAACGTCCTCGTTGGGCCACATCGATCCGGGTCTGGCTCTGATA